CAAGAATGAATTGTCCTTGTGGAAGTGGATACCCAAGAATCGGTGTCGTGGTCAAGCGTTCCTTCAGAGCATCGAAGGCGACCTGGCATTCTGGATCCCAGTGGAAGGGGCGTGCTTCCTCGGTGAGACGAGTCAGAGGCTTTGCAATATCCGAAAACATTCGAACGTTACGTCGATAATAAGTGCAGAGTCCAAGAAAGCTCCTGAGTTGATGCTTATCTATTGGTACTGGCCATTGCTTCACTGCTCGTACTTTCTCAGGGTCGACTTCCACACCCTGCCTTCCTACGACGTGTCCCAAGTAGTTAACCCGTTTCTGCAGCAGATGACATTTCTTCAGATTGAGTGTGAGGTTTGCAGCCTGAAGTCTCTTGAAAACTTCCTCTAGGTTAACCAGATGTTCTTCAAAAGTTCTACCGATCACGATGATGTCATCCAAATAAACTAGGCATGTCTTCCAGGAGAGTCCCCTTAACACATTCTCCATGATTCGTTCGAAGGTAGCCGGAGCATTGCAGAGTCCGAAAGGCATGACCTTGAATTGCCATAACCCAGTGCCAATGGTGAAAGCTGTCTTTTCCTTATCTGCCGGATCCATTTCCACCTGCCAATATCCACTTTTCAGGTCCAGAGTGGAGAAAAGATTCGATTCCGCCAACGTGTCGAGTGTGTCGTCAATTCGGGGCAAAGGATAGCTGTCCTTCTTCGTCACGTTGTTCAATCGGCGATAGTCCACACAGAAACGAGTGTTTCCATCTTTCTTCTTTACTAGTACCACTGGTGAAGCCCAAGGACTATGGGATGGCTCGATTACCCCGTCTTGTTCCATTTCCTGGATGATCTTTTCTGCAATTTCTCTCTTGGCCTGTGGTAATCTTCGGGCTGGTTGACGAATCGGTCTGGTATCTCCCGTATCAATTTTGTGACTGACGATGTTGGTTCTACCTGTTTTTCCATTGGCAGGTATGAAAATGGATCTATACCTCTGCAGTAACTCGGTTAACTTCTTCTTCTGTCGGTTGTTGAGTGATTCGTTCGCGGCAGAGACGAGTTCTTCATACTTGCCGGCCTCATCAGTGGTTGCTGTCACCTGGTGGATTATGGAGGCAGCCGGGACACAGGTTCCAATCTTCGTCCCTTTGCCAATCGTCACAGGGTAATTATTTATGTTGATAAATCGAACAGGTACATGGTCGTCTGCTGACAGTAAAGCCTTGCCGACTAAGATTCCTCGTCCGACTTCTTCATCATGGTTCCAGGGTTTCATGATGATGGGACTGCCTTGCTTCAATGTACCCTCAATCCGAGCTGCTACAATAGTCTCACTCCGTTTCGGTAACAGTACGTCCTCTTCTAACGTTACCCCTGCCGCTACCTCCACTCGTGGATGCAAAAAGATCTCTTCGGCACCCACCTTGAGTGTTCTGCTTCTGAAGTCCAGTTGAATTCCTTGCGCACCCATGATGTCCATTCCCAGAATAACATCTTCTTCAATGTCTGCCATGATAGCTCGATGTGGAAATTTGACGGTCCCAATCGATATATCCACATCGATTTCCCCATAAACGGTGGCAGCTTCACCCGTAGCAGTTCTCAGACGCCATCTTGAGTTCAGAAGTTGCTTTCTTGAAGACGTCAGAAGTCCACGTCGCAGGATTGTCTTCGCTGCACCAGTATCCACCAACAATGCGCATTTCTTTCCGTCGATCAGTCCATCTACGTAGACGCTGCTGTTATCACGCCGTAGGGATGCCACAAAGATGAGAGGGTCTTGAGAATGACGGGTCGAAGCTGCCCCCTCGAAGTCGACCCGCTCTAGTTTTCCTGCGGCTGCGTGGAAGATGATCCTTCCTCAGCAGCCTGTTCCGCACGTTTACAAGCTCTCTGGAGGTGGCCCAACTCCCCGCAATTCCAACAACGTACCGGTCTTCTCTTCTTATTCCAGAGGCCCTGGATGGCGTTGATTAAGGCTTCAGTAGGATCTTGCCTGGTATTTTCAGCTATGTTTCCGCTGTCGTTCATTGCTCGGACTCTCGCTGATCCTCGGGAAGCTTCTGCTGCGGCCTCGATCTCAAGCGCAGCTGCCAGAGCACTGGTGAGGTCTTTTGGTCGAGTCAGGCGTACTGCTTTCTGCATTTCGATATCCCGCAATCCATCCACGAACGTTTGAACAGCTAGACATTCCATAAGGGACTCTGGGGCTGACGGGTAGGCACAGTGGACAGATCGGGCTACGTCCACTTCGAATTCTTGAAGACTCTCGTTGGCTCTCTGTCGACGGCTCTTCATTTGTGATTGAAACACTTGCTGCAGATGTTCATGGCCATATCGCATGTCGAGACGTTTGACGAGATGATCGTAGCTATCGACTTCACCTTCCGGAATGGCTTGCAAGATGTTCAATGCATCACCCCGTAGAGCTACTGTCAGAGCCACAACCTTGTCCTTGGATGTCCACCCATTGGCTTTGAAAGCTGCTTCGAACTGCTTCAGATAGTTCGGCCACGATGTTTTTCCATCGAATGTAGGTGGTTTTACTCGATTGGTAGTAGTCACTGCATTTGGCCCTACTGTGGTTTCAATCATGAGTCCTTGACCATTTTCAGACTCCTCCAGCACAGCTATTCTTTCTATTTCGAGCTGCAGCTCCTTCTTCATTTCTTCTATCTGGGTGGTGAATTGGGTTGAAACCTGAGCTATAATCTTGTCCTGCTGAGACGCGATCTGTTCTTGCTGAGCAACGATCTGTCCTTGCTGAGCAGCGATCTGAGTCATAACTTCTTCCCGATGTGTTGATATCTGAGTCAATACTTCTTCTCGTTGTGCTGATATCTGGGAGGCGATCTGATCTTGCTGAGCAGAAATACGTGCCAGCACCTCTTCTCGTTGAGTGGTCATCTGAGCTGATACCTCGTCTCGTTGGGCTGAGATTTGAAAGGCTATCTGATCTTGCTGAGCTGAGATTGTCTCCTGCTGAGCACGCATCTGATCCGAGATCTTCTCTTGGTGAGCCACCATCTGATCCGTGATCTTCTCCTGCTGAGCCACCATCTGATCCGCAATGTCCTGTCGCTGAGCCGCTATCTGGTCCGTGATCTTCTCCTGCTGGGCCACCATCTGGTCCGCAATGTCCTGTCGCTGAGCCGCTATCTGGTCCGTGATCTTTTCCTGCTGAGCCATCATCTGGTCCGCAATGTCCTGTCGCTGAGCCGCTATGTCCTGTCGCTGAGCCGCTATCTGTTCCAAGATCCCAGCCAACATCGATTCCGCTGAAGCTGGTTCCTCGAAGGTGAACGTCTATGGGTCCTGACCTACGCTCACCATATACTCTATGAGACGATGCTGAAGTGTAGCCTTGATCCCTGTTGTGTCGAGATCTCTCTCCTCCAACTCGCGTTTCAAGTCCACCACTCTCAACTCGTGTAGTTTCTTCATCACAACGATCTGTTCACTTCACACTGGAATATCCCACTTCTGACACCAATTGTTACGTTATTCGGGTGCAGAAGCGAACACGACACTATTTATTTTCGAACTGATTTATTTGAACTATAGAAACACTAATTTATAACGAACTTATAACTACTATTTATGTAAAACGATTTATAACACGCGGTATATAACTGTCTCTCTGACACTCGCTGCTCGACTGACTGACTCAGTTGTTCGGCTGTCTTATATATGAGAACACATGGCTGGCTTTGGTTGGAGAACCTTCTCGAATGATCTTCCGTCTCCATCTTTTTGTTCTAGAAGCTTCTTAGAACAAACCTCTCTCTCTAATTGTTCCATCGATTGTTTCCAGAACATTCCAGAATCTTCTGTGACGTTATCTGTCACTGCGGCATATATTGAGTGTTCGGAAATATGCTAGTGTATGTAGGAATCATTGAGAGGTTGGAGAGCAATCTGGGATGCGTAATACAGGATGATCGTTGTACTCCTGCCTTCCTGCTGATGTTCCTGAAGCCCCTTCAAGGGGAATATCATTACAATATGTTCAGGAGAGGCATAATATGTCGCTTGGTCATGATAGCTGCAGTCATCTTAAACATCTCTTGAAGATTTTCTGATTAGTCTTGATGAATGATGAATAATAACAAAATTATCAATATGGCTGTCGACACTCAAATTCCTGTGTATTTCTTGAAATGATCAAGTACATTATTTTGGATTCATCTCACATATATTACTCTGTAACATTCACTTAAGTATCATTATAAGAACAAATTCGTTACTTATAATGTATCTGATACATGTATGCAATGTTACTTCGGAAATGCTTAACATATGTCAGATACATGAAGGACATATTCAGGGAGGCGGAAATTTGACGTTACATGCAAGATACATTAACTGTACAAATAATATGTCTGCAACATCGGATGGGAACAGAAATATGTGGTTGTTATGTATCAGATATGTATTTGTGTTTGCTGGGTAGTGTGCCCCGGGCGCCATTAGGTCTTAATCCGGCCCTGAATTTATTGCAAATTCAAACAATTTTGAATGAAGAATCGCGGAACGACTATGATGCTCTTGTCACAATGCAAGGTGTTTGACTCAATAAATCTAAACATTCAAAAACACCAACAGTTGTCATTTCTGTGTCCGAACTCTAATCTTATTAATACCAATAATACATCCCTCCAAGGACGTCCCTAATTGGTCCTCAGGTGGGACATTTGTCCGTCCCACAGACGTCCAATGGACGTCCACGGTACCAAATTCGAACGTCCTATGGACGTACTGAACGTCCCGACAGGTCGTCCTAAGGATATCCGTGGGACAATTGTGTTATCAGGATATAGGTAAGCACAAAAAAATTTGAAAAACTAAACAACAAAATATGTACTGTAGATACGCGCATAGCTCAAAACGACTGCAACCAATGTCTAATTTTTTTCAAATGGTGAACCAACCGTGCCAAGCCTTGCCATGCAGCTATCACAAATAAATACGCTTTAGGATTTGACCAACATATTTTATTGCTATTGATATTACATGCCATAATCAAGAATTTCCAGTGGAGGACAGTTATAATGTCTTATGTTTCTGGGCATCACCATCCCATGCTGGATAGTCGACACGCTCCTCATATAGTCACAAACCGCTTTGATCATGTGATCTGGAACGATGGGCCCTATTCCAGGAATCGCTTCTACGTTCACTTCTTCAACGTCTGACTGAAAATTAATAAATAATCAAAGGTGATACCAATGAAACCATGAGTTTGAGTTCTTCAAATGTTAGATGTTGTTGATTTAACAAAAAGATGGGATCAAACCGATTGATAAAATTACGAGTTCTTTAGGCGCACGTATGTATGACGTATTCGTGATATTTTCGTGACTGATGACAGGTGAGCAAGTGACCGTATACGTCAAACAAATTACAAGCATTCCTTGATGAATTGACAAGGGTCAGTTCTGGGGCCAATTTTGTATTCAATGTACATTTAACTCAATGTCTACTCTCAATTTGACAACTAAACTAAAATTATTTGCAGATGATACAACAATAATCTATACCTCAGAAGATTTTAGCGATATTATATCAATAATGATATTGAAAATGATTCGAAATAAATATCGTATTGGTCAAGTACCAATAAGTTGACTCTTAATTTTTCATCAAAGAGAATGTGAAATACCTATCTCCATGTATATTTATCAAATATTTCACCAAAAAAGCCGACTCACTCGATAAGTACGCCCATGGAAATTCAGGATCAAATATAATTGGTCCAGTAAATATCTGATAATTGTGTGAATAGACCATAAGAATCTCATCGGAATCGGCTCCAGCAGTTTCAAGATATTCATAAAGAACTAATTATTTTTTTCAAACTTGGACACCCAAACGAAGCAACATATGAGACCCATATTCATGACTGTTTTTTTATATTTTGTTGAGCTGTATCTCCCCTAGGCTCTTGTCACCACAATTCTGAAACACCCTGTACAACTTGAAATGTTATTATCTGCATGCAACTTTCATCCAATAAGAGTATCTGTTTCGAAAATATGTGGTCCTGGAAAGTCACAACATAAGTTTGCACTGAAATGAGAAAAGTTTCCGGCTTTTGACACTTATTGATTTCGACTATACTACTGAACCTATATTAGAGTTTCATGTACTCATTTTACGCAGAATTGAATTATTAAACTGCGTGTTATTTTTCGTCTGACGCATTGTATTCAAGCTACAAGCCGAAAACTGAAAAAAAGTGCAAAAATTCGGCTCGGGCTACCAAAAGTTAATTCCACCTCCTGGGATGATGCAGTCGCATTACACTTAGATAATTGGTCACCAACACACAATAAATCAGCGCTCTAATAATCGTACGTTGCATTGGTTTTTTTCAACCCTTTACATTCATACCACGGTCGCCTCCACCACTGAAAACCTGCCAGACATCCCGTTCAGTTTTCAATAATATAACGGCAGTACAATAATGTGAGAGATATCGAACTATATGGATCTATTACTCAGACAATGAAATTCGTTATCAGCACTCCTTCTAATAAAACAACCATCAAGACGCAGATTTCAGAACGTCATGGAAACGTCACGAAAACTTCGGAAGAATGTCGCGGAAACGTCACAAGAATGGCGCAGAAAGTAACGCATTCGTCAAAGCGTCGGAAAACTTGAAGGAAACGATGCAAAAACGTCAAGCAAGAATGTGTCAGAGAGAGGAGAGAAAGAGAGAGAGAGACGGCATTGAGGTTAGTTCAGGTCGAAATGGTTGGACAATCAATCATACCTTCTTCTCTTCTTGCTTATCATCCTCGACTGTTTCTTTTTCCTGCTCTTTTTCTTGTTCTTCAGGAACCTCAGCTTCCTTGAATTGATCTATAGCAACTTCTTGTGAAGCTGACAGGGGCATTTCTTCGATGAGTTTGCACTTGAATTTTTCCACTTCTTCGTCTGTTTCACCAGAAATCTCTTGCTGCATGGCCTACAAAGAAAATATCATGACATTCATGGCAGCCTGTTGCCGGTAAACAATTATGTTCCATTCTTTATTGAACTGCCTATAAGATTCGAGATTCAAGATTCATTCATTTCGTATCAGGTACAGGATACAATGAACATATTGGATAATGCCAAAAGTATTCAGTACAAAAAACTCATGATTATTACAAAACATAATTAATTGTCAAGATATTATAGGCATCACCCCGTTTTCAATATTTCAGTTGAACGAATTATTCTGCAAAAAAACTTATTATTAAGGTTGAAATTCTATCAAAAAGTCGTTTTTTGAAGCTCATAGGGCACAAATTCACTTAGAAGAATATGTCTGTTCTACCACCCTTGAAGGCACACAATCCAACATTTGAATCGATGTTGCTCGAAAACTAGTCATAGGATTGAGTTGGGCCCATCGCAGGAATTGTACATCGTAGGAATTGGCATCGTGAACATGTATGAAAAGTGAGCACGATGGGAATCCAAGAAAGGTGGGCATGGTGGGAATCTATGAAAAGTAGGCATGGTGAGAATCCAAAGAAGGTGGGCATCGTGAGAATGTATGGAAAGTGGGCATGGTGAAAATCCAAAGAAGGTCGGCATTGTGGGAATTGGACATCGTGGGAATTGGACATCGTAAAAATTGGCATCGTGGACAAGTATGAAAAGTGAGCATGGTGGAAATCGAAGAAAGGTGGGCATGGTGGGAATTGGGCATCCTGGGAATCTATGAAAAGAAGTGGACATGGTGAGAATCCAAAGAAGGTGGGCATGGTGGGAATTGGGCATTGTAGAAATTGGCATCGTGGACATGTATGAAAAGTGAGCATGGTGGAAATCTAAGAAAGGTGGGCATGGTGGGAATAGGGCATCGTAGGAACTGGACATCGTAGGGATTGAGCATCGTGGAAATCCATGAAAAGTGGGCATGGTGGGAATCCTAAGAAGATGGGCATGGTGGGAATTGGACATAGTAGGAATTTGACATCGTGGGAATGTATTAAAAGTGGGCATGGTGGGAATCAAAGAAAGGTGGGCATGGTGGATATTAGGCATCGTTGGAATTGGGCATCGTGGCAATCTATGAAAAGTGGGCATGGTGGGAATTCGAAGAAGATGGGCATGGTGGGAATTGGGCATCGTAGGAATTGGGCATCGTGGACATGTATGAAAAGTGGGCATGGTGGGAATTCACGAAAAGTAGACATGTTGGGAATTGAGCATCGTGGGAATCTATGAAAAGTGGGCATGATGGAAACATGTATTTTCTGAATTTTTGACCTGGCAATCTTCGTAATCGTTGACATATGAAGGATTTGGGCATCGTGGGAATTGAGCATCGTGGGAATTGGGCATCGCGGGATACTCTCCAGCTATGGTCATCGAGCCACACAGCACACCCTGTATATCTACTCAATAAACTCGCCTGCAACCTCTGCAGATCTTCCAGCAGCCTCTTTTCGTCATCAACTTCTTCCGGCATGATCTTCCTCGGCACCTCCTGGATGGTGTCTACCGATTCGTTCGGCGCGTCGTCCAAAGCGACGTCGACGGAACTCTTTTTGTCCCCGTCGTCCTTTTCCTGCGGCGCCTCTTTCGTCGTTTCCGGTTCCGGGTATTCGCGGATCTCTTCGAAATCGGCCGTCATGGCGTCTTCGGAGCGCTCTGATTTCGATTCTACGAGCAGGAAAACAGAAAAATATGCTCAGCGGCATAAAACACAACCAGCAATAGATTTTTTCCACCTTCCTCTAATAACAAGTCATTTTCAAATTATTTATTCACTAAAAACTAAGAAACAATAGCTATTTATATATCGAAGGAGCAAAGGAATCAATTTCCTTCCGCGGATGCGTAGCGAAGGGAAATCAACACATCGGCGGAAATGAACCATTACTATACTGGGTGTTATCCTTAAAGACATGCTAACATTTTGGGGGATGATTCTCTGACTCATTTCAAAAAGAAAACTTACTATGAAAGTATGTCCTAAAAGTCTTGAGACTTTTGAGATACAGGGTGATAAAGTTTTGAAAAAAAAACAATTTTTCGATATTATATAACTGAAATAATGTTGTAGACATCTCAATGAAATTTGGTGCATGTCTTCTATGCATCAACGTGCATTTCCTGATGTGAACAGATTTTGATTCTCTCTGTCAGGGGCGTCCGTACGGGTTTCACATTGAATATTTTTCGAAAAAAAAATATTACACCACCGCTTTTTTTCAAAATAAAAATGATTCCCAAAACTCCCATACATTTTTGAGCAAATTTGATCTCTTGGGTTTTCTCAGTCCAACGCATGGTTTTCGTTTAAAAAAATAAAAATCGTTTTACTTCAGGATCGATTCCTTGAAAATCTGATGCGGTGTGGAAATGTTTGTGCATCGGCTGAAAGCAAATTGAGGGATCAGATTTTCAAAAATTAATGAGGATCCAAAAAATATGGATTTCAGCTTGTACGAAAACGAGTTTTATTTTATTTTATGAAAGTAAGTTTAAATGAACGGCTCAAATTTGGACCCGGCACTTTTGCTATATGAAAATGGCGTTCTGTCGAATTCTCTGAATTTTTAGTATATTATAGAACTCGACCTTATGATCAAATATGCCGAGTCCCAATCCGATCCTATGACCAGTTTCTGAGATACAGTGTGTTGAAGTTCAGAAATGCCCCCTTTTCATCTACCCATATCTTCAAGAAAAGACAAATGGATCAGAATTTTCTGGTACCAGTTTTTCGGTTCAACCTATTAGGTACAAAAACCATGTACAAAATCAACCAAAGCTGATTTTCATCACAGGGTGATTCACGTCTAAATTATTGTGTAATTTTCAATTTCTAAATATCGATACTACATCTTGATAAAAATTAAAAAATAAAAATTATCATTCCATATGTTCTTCTTACATGAAATTAATTCATTATATGTATTGCTCATACATGGTGTTTCGTGAATGCTGATGTTTAGAAAATAAAGTTTAATGAGCCACCTCGTATTATTGGGTTGATTTTGGCTATTGATTATAATTTTTCAGGACACATTATGATGCATTTCATAGTATACAGAGTGATTTATTGATTGAAGAAATTGCCAACTACAGTAAAATATTAAAAAACCACTGTTTTTTCCATCACTCTCTAATTTTAGATTCTCACCGTTGAGGTCAGATTTTTTTTCCATCAATATACTGAGTATTAATACCTCAATGAGATGAAGAAATTTCAGCTCCTTGCTATGACTAGTTTGCCCTATATTGAATATAATGAAAGTGATTAACACTCAGATTGAATACCTACTGGTTAACGGAAATATACCTTGTAGAAAATATTACTGTTACTGAGATATTTCCATTGGCGACTTGAAAGAATAACAATATATACAGTATACGGGGTGTTCGCTTCACCATGGATCATATATATACTCTAGCTGTTAATAAACAAGTTTATAGCTTACAAAAACACCACAGCTCGAACTTTTATACAAAGAGTTCAATTCATGTCTGTATGTTCCAAGCTACACACGAAGGCAGGAATTTTTTCATAAAAGTTCCAAGATCTCGAGATTTGTGAGATCCTGTATAATACAACTAACTTGTTTCCAGCGCCTTTTTTTCAAGTGGTATCCTCAATATGTCTAGTCCACTGCACAAATAATTAGTGATTCACACGAGACCAACGAGACAAGACTTTCATAAAATCTCGTCTCGTCTCGCCGATGAAATATGAAGTCTTGTCTCGAGTCTCGTCTCGCAGCTTCGAGTCTCGTCTTGTCTCGAGTCTCGTACGAGAGTCTCGCAAATGTATCGCAATTTCGTCATGCATATTCTTGTTCCAGTCTAGTACGGGATATTAACCATTACCGACTTTTCAGTTATAGTGTAGAAGTAGGAAAAGAAAATCACATAAAAAATAACACTATTTATTGAAAAGTGTGTCAATATTCTAATCCGCATTCGCTTGCCGGTCGTTGGTTCGATTCTCATCGACTGCAGAAATTTTTCTGATGGCCCAAGAAAGTGTTTGGGATCACACGTTAAAAGGTAAGGACCACGTCATTCCTTGCTCGCACAAGACTCTCGAAGACTTCTGAGGGTTGCTCGTAAGGGGGCAACCGAATGACGGATAGAACAATTTTAGAACAATTTATAATAGGTACATACTTACATCATACAAGCAAGAAAAAAACATAGCATTATATATTCGAGTTTTGTACACTAGGGTTTTGAGGTGCCCCCATAAACAGTAATCTAAACTGTTGAGATCGGGGGATCGTGTGCTGTGGTCCTCCGCGACCTATCCAACGATTAGGATAAACTGTATTCAAATGGTTCCGGAAAATTACACTGAAATGAGATATTCGATTCCTTTACATAATAGGCACATCTTCAAGCAACCCACGTAGTTCTTCTTCGAGAAAGTGTAAATAAGACCGACCATCAAGGCGTCCTGGTAGAAACAATGTACCTATTAGATTAGATAATCGTCAATAATTCCTACCCATACATTAACCGAAAATTGGCGTTGAAAATGGGTTTTGGTTATAGCATGGGGGTTTTCTTCCGCCCACACATGATTGCTATGGAAATTTCGAATAGCATTCCGAGAAAAATTTGCTTCGTCTGTGAACAAAATTTGTGACTCAAACTGAGGATTTAGTTCAATACCCTGAAGATACCACTGACAGAAGTTCACACGCTGTGGAAAATCTCTAGGGAGTAATGCCTGTACTCTTAAAGTATGGTATGGGTATAACAAAAAAATCAACCAAAATACGCCAAACAATTTGGTGACAAATATTCTAGCGATCTTCCTCGTACTCGTCTCAAGATGTTCTTCGATTACTTGCAGCACCAACAGCCATTGTTTTCATCGACGTTTATGAAAACGTCATTCATTCCAGGATAACTAGATTCATGTTTTCAAAAATTATTAATCGGTGCTGCGGTATGAATAAATTATAATTCAACTATTTCAATCAAGAACAGAGCATCTGACATGAAAAACATATTTTTTGGATACTCATTAATTTTGGAACAAATCTGATCTCTCAATTTGCTTTCAGCCGATGCACACACATTTCCACACCAAATGCAATCAGTTACTCGTATTTGTATTAAAAATTATGTAGTTTGTGTCGGCGAGATGTAAGCAAACAAAGAATAGTTCAATAGCAATGGAAAGGATGTTGGCGAATTTGGCTTCACTTTGTTGAATAATGTATATTGATGCATATTCTCTGTCACCCAACAAAAATCTTGATAGTAAATTATTGAGAAATTTCCTAAATGACGATCGAAACTCATTAAATTGGTACGTCACACCGACGTGATTTTTAGACGTCATAGATACGTCACTGCAACGTCATAAGAGTAACGGTTTCAATATAGGTATACCTAAACAATCATTTGTATATATATACATAGCTTGTTGGTTTTCGAGATTTACAGTGCGTCAAAGTATTTAAGAAAGAAGTTTTTCTACTACTTTTCGGGTATATTAATGATTAGAATGAATTGCATGTTGATTCGCTTTCATAAGTTATACTTCTGTTTCACATGATAATATATAGGTAAGTATCCATGGTTTAGAGAAGGTCTGGGAAAAATGGACGTCGACAGGATACGTCCCTGCAACGTCATGAAACTGACGTCTTCTTTCATCCATATGTGACGTTCACTTGACGTCGAAACGATGACGTGATTATCACGTCATAGAAAGTACGTCATAGTGACGTCATAAATTGGTGTGTGACGTCTCTGACGGAAAATCACCAATTAGGGACATCACAGTGACGTGATCATTCGTTATCTGGTTGCCTGGATAGGAATGCTGAGAACTGACAAGACACCGCCTACAATTCGTGCGCCGTTTTGTCACGTTCACCAGCTCGAATGTTCTCTAGTGTGAATTTATATAATCAATATATACACAAATGTATTGATTATTATTGAGCAATAATCCACAACACATGAGGGAACATTATATAAGACAATTGATTTTTTCTCGGATTTTTTATTGCTAATTAGGAATATTACCAAAACATAATAATTTATGAATTATTGAATAACTAATATTTCTGAAGTTCCCAATCTTATATCTACATATGGCAACTGTGCTATTGATGTCTGCCCCTTCTGACGAAATCGTGATGTCAGTTTTTACATGCAGTAAATTTCTAGCCGTTTGAAAATTACTGTGGTATTATTGATGATTTTAGCACCACAAAATCGAATGAAAAATTTCAAAAAACATGAAATTGAAAGATATTTGACTGATGTTTCTATTTAAGAAATAAAAAAAATCAATCCACCCGCCTATTCCTATTAATAGGCCTTGTAAATATAAGGCAAAATTTTCCAAATCGCAAATTTTCAAATTTACCTTGTTGCTGACACAGAGTTATGTCACACACTATATAATTTCAATTTCACCAACATTCAACATTTTTACCAATATTCAACATTATTCATTGACTACAAGAGTTGTGAGCGTAATCTATGAAAACAAAGCAAGTGCAGAATGTGATATAATTTTTGTTAACTACCTGTTTACAAATTTCTCCATTCAATGGCGAATAATAATCCAAGATATCAAAACTACGAAATATTAGATACGATTGGGAAGTCTCACCAAGTTGAAGACAGTTTTAACTTTTTCTCTTTTTTTTTTTTCGATTACCAGTTCCTCCACCCGAATTTTAACGGTTACCTTTTTCTTCCTCTTCGTCCAACATCTCTTTATAAATTTCTTCTTCTTGTTGCAATTCTTGACCTTCTCCTTCCAATTCGTATGCATCATGTACTCTGTCATAATCTGAATACATGCCTGCAGGACTAAAACAGTAACAAATACATCATTATAGTGTTCCTAAAAATATCCACTTTTTGATGCTTTTGCGTGATATCTCTAGTATCTTTGGAGAAAGAACATTTCGGTTTTCACGGTCCTTTGCCACTTTTTCGTGAAACTCAAGATGGCCTCATCAGATTTTGCATAACTGATTCCGTTTATGAGAAACAGGGCGATTTTGAAAATTTATACTTTTTGGACCCCCTCTATATATCTACGAAGTTTCCCACCGGAAATGTCAAATAAATCTAACCTTACCTCATTCAGATCTTTTTTTCCCCTTTGAAATGATATTCAGGGTGACTCAGGGTTGAACCGCCAAACGTTTAGGATCAGTTTTTTAGGCGAAAATACGACTTTTTCTTCCTATAAGCATGTGTCTTCTTCTTCTTCTTCTTCGAAGCACTGGTGGGCGGGTGAACCCACTGCACGTGGGCCTCCTTATTCGGGCCCATTGTGCGCCCACATGTTACGACATTCAGCTGGGTATGCCGACTGCCTTGGAGAAGTTCAGCAGCTTCCTCAACTGAATCTCTTTTACGTCATCTGGCCTCAAGATTATGTTGCCAAGGACAGCCCTCCTCTGATGCGTCAATGCTGGACACTCAGTGAGGACATGTGATGACGTTTCGTCATCTTCCAGGCACCATCTGCAAAGGCGGTCATCCTTGATCCCAATAAGCTCTAGGTGCCTATTGAGGTGGTTGTGCCCCGTTAGGGGCCCCACTACCATTTTAAGGTTTCGCCTGTTTAGGAATAAAACCTCTTTTGCGAGCCTCTTCGAAGGTTCCTTTATGTGGAGCTTCGATTGTCTCATTCCTGGTGTGTCCTGCCATTTTTGAGGTATTGCTCTTGCAGCTGTTCCTCTATAGAGGACATTGCCAGGCTATTTGGTATTCCCAAGATTGGTTCCGGTCCGACCGGGGTCCGTCCTGAACCGATCTTTGCCAGTCTGTCTGCCTCCTCGTTTCCGGGTATTCCCGAATGTCCCGGGACCCACATGAGGCTGACTTTTCTTGATTTTGCCAGGTTTTTCAAGGCTTTTCTGCACTCGGACACCAAATTGGATGTGATCCTATTGGATTGCAAAGCCAGTATTGCAGCTTTGCTGTCCGATAGTGATTGGTCTACGACCTCTCATAATTAGGTTTTCTTGGACACAGGTGAGTATTGCAAGTACTTCTGCCTGGAACATGTGTCCCAACTTGCTTCCTTTTAGAGATATAGGGTGTCAAGGTTTTAAGGAAAAATCAGTTTTTCATTAATTACCTACTCAAAAACCTTTGGGCTGATTTTGATGAAACTTGGCATGCTCATTTGAGGTAATAGGGGGCTTCTGTTTACTTTTTACTTAAGATAAAATCAATTCCAGTAGCGTCCCAGATGGTAATCTATCTAATAATAGGATAAATCCGAGGATAAATCATTGTACGATGGCTGCACCACTATTTTCCGGAAAGATGGATAGGTCACGGTCAAGACAGCCCCTTTCCTTGGCCTGCGCGCTCTCCTAACTTGACTACTATGGATGTTTTTGTATGGGGTTCAATGAAATTCAAAGTTTATGCTGAGCCCATCAATGACGAAGATATTCTCCGGGAGAGGATTGTCCAAGCAGCACGAAAGATCACAACAGCATAGTGACGTGCAGCTCCAAAATCTGTCGTACGTAGGTGCGAACATTGTATTGTGAAAGATGGTGGTCATTTTGAACAGTTTTTGCCGTTATATCAGTCATATAGTTTTATTCTGCTACATGCAGGGAAACGTTTTTTTATTTTTTCGAAAATGAATAGAGATAATAAACGAATTGATGAGACAGAAAAAATTGTATTTTTGGAAGTTTGAATTAAAAAATGAACATACAAATAAAACAGTGGCGTACAATGATTTATCTTGATATTAGATCGATTACCCTCTGGGACGCTACTGTAAATAAAAATTTCATTCTGAGTAAACAGTAAACAGGAGCCCCTTATTAGCTCAAATGAGCATGCCAAGTTTTATCAAAATCAGCCCAAAGGTTTTTGAGTAATTATTGAAGAACTGATTTTTTTTTTTTAAATTTGAATGAAGCAAGCTAGGACACACGCTTATAGGAAGAAAAAGCCTTATTTTGCCTAAAAAAATGATCCTAAACGTTTGGCGGTGTAACCCTGGGTCACCCTGTATGTGATATATAAATGTAAAATTTTCTAAGATGGTCCGAAATCACTGAAACATTGAATTTTGATAGTGAGCTATGGATTTTCCATATAAAAAGATTCCAATTGGAGGAAAATTTAGTTTCTTCTGATCATTTCATGGAGAGGACAAAAACAATGCAAACACTACCAACCAACTATACAAATAAATAGTAATAAGAAGTTTATTATGTGAAATAAGCACTCGTTGAAATATTCACCTAAACAATTGAATTTCGAAAATATTCGGAAACTCAATCAGTGAACTGTTCAAAATGATGTCCATTCTCAGAAAGCGTAGAGTATCCATATTTCAAATATGGAAAGATATACAGGGTATTCCAATTAAAAAAATAAACCTATGTGTTATATCTGAATAATGACAGTTTAGTCTGAAAACCTGACTACGCCACTGGCTTTGATGTGAACAAATGTATGAGCGACAGTTTTTACTTTTTCGATAAGTTGAAAGATAGCAGAGATACAAGGAGAGTCCCAAAATACAACTTTTTCAATTTTGCCCTGTATCTCAAGAACGAAGCAAGTTAAGGAAATTCCGTTTGTGGAATCATGAGTTTCACAAAAAGGTAGCCAGCGTTCGCGGAAACTGCAAATCTCTATCTTTGAAGATAAGTGATATCCCGTAAGGACTTAGAAAATAGGACAGCCTATACATATTTTACGCCCTTGATACACAAATAATTCATATTATGAGTCATACATATCCTCTGCTTCTCCGTCAGCTACTTGAATATAATAATCCATAGAGTATGGATCTGCTGGTTCAGCGTCCACCAAACTGGGACAGGATATTTCTTCTTTCGTCAGCTCTTTTTCAGTTTCTTCGCTCTCAGACCTCTCAGTAGTGTGACTTTTTATGCTGAAATTTGATGAATTTTCATAAACTGAACGTCAAAACATCGATTGCATCTCGAAAATAATGGAAGTATGTATAATCAAATCGCATATACAGGGTGTCCCTTGAAGGGCTACACAAATAAATGATACTTCAGACTCCTGAGACCAAATTGATATGATTGAAGCAAACTTACCCCTACACCAAAACGCTCCATTTAGCCGCAACAGGTCGTTGGAAATTAATTTTTATTTTTAATTTTTATGCAACACCCTGTCTTATTCGTGGAGAAATGTGTGCCACATATTGAAAATAATTGATATGATTGATGATTTTAAACGAAAATTCAGTAGGAACTTATGATTAAATAATTTTGAAGAGTATCAGGCATGCATCAAAGTGAATTTGGTCAATTTACTTGCGAACCAATTGATATATCACAAACTTTCACGAAGACTAAAAGTTAGGTATTGAATGAGATCTGTTCATTGGCGTACAAAGAAAAAGTTCTATCAATTTTCCGATCAACAGAGGATTCCAAATATGTAACATTCTGTTTGTCAATCAAAATGGTATGGAATATTTCTTATGAATAATAGTCATTTTAGTGTGCCGACAGAATTTCAGAACGATATTTATAGACAATATTGAATAATTCAGACAAATTAGAAATAAAATTCCATATCGACTTTTTTGACGCCCTGCACGTAGCGGTATAGAAGTGAGTTTGGTTCAATCATCTCATTTTGGTCTCAGGAGTCTATGGTGTATCATTTTGAACAGACCTTTCAAGGACACCCTGTATGTCAGGTGTCCTGGAGCTTCTAGGTACTAAATATCTGGGTCATCTAATATTCAGAAAAAGTTCAGAAGATTGTGGAGAATGTGTAAGCAAAAGCTCTTCTGGAGAAATCGAATCACCCTCATGGCAAATATCTACTATAGTAACAACCCCTAACTTTGACATTTCGAGTATCACCTCCATGTTCTTTTCGGTCCATCTTAAAGACCTCTTCATTTTCAATTCAGCGATACCGGGCTAGATATCCAGCAATAAATTCATCCTTGATTATTTTGAATAATTTCGATAACTTTCATTATAAAATATCAAATTTTTCTCTCCCAGCTTTGTGTGTTTATTGTTTATTGAAAAACTAGCTTCCAGTCAGAAATAAAATGCTGGTATGAGGAAGTTGATTACAAACAACAATAATAAAACAATATAAGGTGACAACAACAATAAAAATCTAAAAATGCTAAATCGATCAAGTCATAAAAATAGCCACAGGGACTAATCAGTAGATGGCAAGGTATCAATTTTATCCATTTCGTACTGAAATAATGTGTTTTTTCAATTCAATTTTAAATTTTGAAATATGTCTGCAATTTTTTATATTATTTGGTAATTGATTTAATTCAGCTAGAGCAGCGTGAGTGAATTTTTTTTGGCCAATTATAGAAGTAGCAGAATCAAGATGGAATAAGTTTAATTGTCTCGTGTGATGACCATAAATTCCTGAGTTTCTTACCAGAACAAAATTGGATTTCAGATTATTGTTTATTATATTATATGAAACTGTAAGAGAATCTATTTTATATAATTCATCCAATGAAAATTTTTCTGTTTTCGCATACAGCTCGTTTGTTGGGATATCAAATGAGAGGCGATACAATACTTTCAGTGCTTTCTCATTAAGTGCAGATATTTTACTGAAATAATTTTATGAACAAGATCCCCAAACGTTTATCATATAGGTAATACGACTGAGTATATGAGAATGAAGTAAGTACTATGTTTATGAATTTTTTGTCAAGTTTAGGACATCTCCGCAAAGCTCCAATGATTGGAGATATTTTTTGTATCAGAACCTCTATATGCTTGTCCCATTTCAATTTTTCATCAATCCACAAACCAAGATACTTTATTTGTGTAGTTCTTTTCAATACTTCATTTTTAATTTGGAGATTGGGACTAATATTCTGTATATTTTTTTGATGGAATATTATATATCCAGTTTTATTGGTGTTAATTGATAAAATGTTCGAATAAAGCCATTTTTCAATTTTTTCCAAATCTTCGTCAATAATATTTTCTAGAATGATGGGGTTTTTGTTTTCGTATGAAAGTACAGTATCATCTGCATATATAGTATAATTACCTGACAATCCAATTTCAGAAATATTTTGAATATATAATAAATACAAGATGAGCCCTAAAACAGATCCCTGTGGAACTAGACTCTGACATATTACATTTAGTGCTGATTGTCCTATTCGCAAGATAAGATTCTAAAAGATTTTTAATAATGCCTCTGAGTCCCATCGATTCCAAGTATTCTAAGAGATTCTTATGGTCAACTGTATCAAATGCCTTTTTAAGGTCAATGAAAATAGCTACAACGTAATTTCCCGTATCAAGTCCTTCTTGAATTTTTTGTACTACTTGTAGTACTGCTGCTTGTGTACCACTATTTTCTTGGAATCCGAACTGATTATTATCAAAACTATATTTTTTGTTTATGAAATTTCTTCTTCAAAATTTTCTGATATTTCAAGGAATAACTGGGTGTAACAGTATAAGCCTGCAAAACAATGTAGTTCTATAATTTTGACTATAACGCTACGTTAATCGTTATGTATAGTTAAATTGAGAATGTTCTATAAGTTGTTCTTTTTTTCAATTGACTCGGTCATTACTAAAAATCCATAGCAAATGTAAAAACTTCACAAACGATGAGATTTTCACAGAATTCTTAGTCACACGACATGTTCCGCTAACACAGAGAGTAGCTTCGTCAGGTGAAATACTGATGGTACAATGGAATAAACTAACCTTGGCTTGCCTAAACTGATAAATATCCCACTTTTCCAACCTGAAAAAACAAGAAATAACATGCGGATACAGTTTGAAAAAAAAAGTGCAGAGAGTTAGGGACTGCGGAAAGAAGTAGAAACTAAGTAACATGATGCGAATGGTATCGTCGAGCTATTAGAGTATTATTTTTCAACTCCATTTTAGTTTGCTCGAATCTCTCAAGTTCGACAAATGATTCATAATCTTCGACCCCGAAAACCCCAGCTACCAATTGTGAATAGAATCGTATCATAAGTACAAAACTCGTCCGCCATATTATTGCATCTGCAACCCCAAAAACCCTCAGATACAAATTTTGAATAGAATTGGATCATAATTACATGAATCGTCCTCCATAATGAATCCGCCTTCTTGAATTGCCTAATTTTGACGAAGGAATCATAATCTCCGACCCCGAAAACTATCAGATCCAAATTTTGAATAGAATCGTGTCATATAATTACAAAACTCGTGCGCTATATTGGTCCCGCCATCTTGAATTCTCCGAGTTCGAAAAAAAATCATAATTTCCTACCCCGAAAATCCCAGATACAAAATTTGGATAGAATCGGATCATAATTATTACAAAATTCGTCCGCCATATCGGTTCCGCCATCTTGAGTTTTCGAATTTTGACGAAAGAATCATAATTTTCGACCTCGAAAACCTTCAGATACCAATTTCAGATAGAATCAAATCATAATTATTATACAACTGGTCCACCATATTGGTTCCGTCATCTTAGATTTCCAAATTGTGACGAAAGAACCATAATCTCCAACCTCGAAAACCCTCAGATATACCAATTTTGAAAAGAATCGAATCATAATTATTACTAAACTCGTCCGCCATATTGGTTCCGCCATCTTGCATTTTCGAATTTTGACGAAAGAACTATAATTTTCGACCCCGAAAACCTTCAGATACCAATTTCAGATAGAATCAAATCATAATTATTATACATATAACTGGTCCACCATATTGGTGCCGCCATCTTAGATTATCAAATTGTGACGAAAGAATCATAATCTCCAACCTCGAAAACCCACAGATATACCAATTTTGGATAAAATCGAATCATAATTATTACAAAACTCGTCCACCATATTGGTTCCGCCATCTTAGATTTCCAAATTTTGACGAAGGAATCATAATCTGCGACCGCGAAAACTATCAGATCCAAATTTTGAATAGAATCGTGTCATAATTACAAAACTCGTGCGCTATATCGGTCCCGCCATCTAGAATTCTCCGAGTTCGAAAAAAAATCCTAATTTCCTACCCCGAAAATCCCAGATACAAATTTTGAATAGCATCGGATCATAATTATTACAAAATTCGTCCGCCATATCGGTTCCGCCATCTTGAATTTTCGAATTTTGACGAAAGAATTATAATTTTCGACCCCGAAAATCTTCAGATACCAATTTCAGATAGAATCGAATCATAATTACTATATAACTGGTCCACCATATTGGTTACGCCATCTTATATTTCCAAATTGTGACGAAAGAATCATAATCTGCAACCTCAAAAACCCCCAGATATACCAATTTTGAATAGAATCGAATCATAATTATCACAAAACTCGTCCGCCATATCGGTTCCGCCATCTTGCATTTTCGAATTTTGAAGGAAGAATCGTGATTTTCGACCCCGAAAACCTTCAGATACCAATGTCAGATAGAATCTAATCATAATTATTATACATATTGGTTCCGCCGTCTCAGATTTCCAAATTTGTGACGAAAGAATCATAATCTCCAACCTCGAAAACCCCCAGATATACCAATTTTGGATAGAATCGAATCATAATTATCACAAAACTCGTCCACCATATTGGTTCCGCCATCTTGAATTTCCAAAATTGTGACGAAAGGATCATAATCTTTGACCACGAGAAATTCCAGATTCCAATTTCGAATAATAATTACAATACTAATCCGCCATATTGGATCCGCCACCTTGATTTTTTCCAAAACAAGGATGCTATCATTTTTTATACATCTCAAAATATGTATAAGTACAAAGTTTCATGACAATCGGTTGGCTAGTTTCGATTCAATGTTTTTCTTCACCCAAAAAAGTGCTGAACGCGCCTAAAGAAGTTTTCACTTCGAAAACCAAAGTGAAGTGTTGTTTCTAGTAGACTGCTGTTTGAGACAAGGGTTGATATCACCATTTTGGAGAACTTTTGCATTCATAAATTCCACAATTTTGGAATTTTGTATGGTAGACAACCCAGATGTCTGCTGACCAGAATGCTCTGTATATTTCTTGAGTATAAGTTATCTTGAAAAAAGCTCACCTCTCTTCTTCGTACACTGATTCCTCCTGTGTAACCACAGGTTGGTCTCCTTGGTCAGGAGATTTCATCCACAGACTCAATAGGGAATCGGTGAAATAGAGGTTCTGCAGTTTTTGGGGCTTCGAAGCGTCAATTTTAGCAAGGAATTCGTACAGGTCGATGAATGTCTCTAAAGGGATCATGGCTGACCCCCCCTCCGGTTCTTCTGTCATTATTTCGCATATCAGTTTCATAGTGGTTGTCAAGTCCTATGGTAATATACCAAGAAGACCAATCACGACCCAAAAAAAAAAAATGATTGACAGTTTCCTGAGATAAATTAGGTTGTCTGAACTGAGAATCAGAAGGCTGATAAGTGAACTTTACATAACATTTTACAAGTTTTTAATTCAACTTTAAGTTCAATAAATGAATGAATCGATAATACAAATTGATTTATTGATTTATTGATTTATTGATTTATTGATTTATTGATTTATTGATTCATTGATTTATTGATTTATTGATTTATTGATTTATTGATTTATTGATTTATTGATTTATTGATTTATTGATTTATTGATTTATTGATTTATTGATTTATTGATTTATTGATTTATTGATTTATTGATTTATTGATTTATTGATTTATTGATTTATTGATTTATTGATTTATTGATTTATTGATTTATTGATTTATTGATTTATTGATTTATTGATTTATTGATTTATTGATTTATTGATTTATTGATTTATTGATTTATTGATTTATTGATTTATTGATTTATTGATTTATTGATTTATTGATTTATTGATTTATTGATTTATTGATTTATTGATTTATTGATTTATTGATTTATTGATTTATTGATTTATTGATTTATTGATTTATTGATTTATTGATTTATTGATTTATTGATTTATTGATTTATTGATTTATTGATTTATTGATTTATTGATTTATTGATTTATTGATTTATTGATTTATTGATTTATTGATTTATTGATTTATTGATTTATTGATTTATTGATTTATTGATTTATTGATTTATTGATTTATTGATTTATTGATTTATTGATTTATTGATTTATTGATTTATTGATTTATTGATTTATTGATTTATTGATTTATTGATTTATTGATTTATTGATTTATTGATTTATTGATTTATTGATTTATTGATTTATTGATTTATTGATTTATTGATTTATTGATTTATTGATTTATTGATTTATTGATTTATTGATTTATTGATTTATTGATTTATTGATTTATTGATTTATTGATTTATTGATTTATTGATTTATTGATTTATTGATTTATTGATTTATTGATTTATTGATTTATTGATTTATTGATTTATTGATTTATTGATTTATTGATTTATTGATTTATTGATTTATTGATTTATTGATTTATTGATTTATTGATTTATTGATTTATTGATTTATTGATTTATTGATTTATTGATTTATTGATTTATTGATTTATTGATTTATTGATTTATTGATTTATTGATTTATTGATTTATTGATTTATTGATTTATTGATTTATTGATTTATTGATTTATTGATTTATTGATTTATTGATTTATTGATTTATTGATTTATTGATTTATTGATTTATTGATTTATTGATTTATTGATTTATTGATTTATTGATTTATTGATTTATTGATTTATTGATTTATTGATTTATTGATTTATTGATTTATTGATTTATTGATTTATTGATTTATTGATTTATTGATTTATTGATTTATTGATTTATTGATTTATTGATTTATTGATTTATTGATTTATTGATTGAATACTCACGTCCGTGAGATGAGCAGCGCACAATCCAACGAACCTCGACCACGGTATGGCCTGAGCGTCCTTGAAGCCACCCACACACAGTACCTCTATGAGCGTCCCATGGGCCAAGCATGCACCTGTCCATCTGTCCCACAGCACCTTGAATGAGACAGATTCACGTTACAATAATTATAATCACATTTTCACTATTTATGATTACATTTTCACCGGCCATGAGGTATCAGTTCATGAAATTTATGGCCCAATGGACAGTTTCTCAAAATGTTCGCTGGATATGTGTTTATTTTGTGTATAATATTTGGGGAGAATCAATAATTTCTTCGTGGAGAAAATGGTCATTCAATGACCTAATCTTTCAAATCAGTCGTTCTCACTAAATCTATAATGTAATTATGATGTATAGATAGTTGAAAGTTGGTCAACTCCTTGCTTGGAGCAATAGTCTAATGAATACATGTTGATGTGTTGCATGAACGAATTCTACCTATGAAAGATGAGTTTTCAACATTCCGAGTTTAGAATAAATATAATGGAAATGTAAATATAATGAACGAAACATGGATGAGTCTTCTCGTCTTACAATGTTAAGGAATACAAATACCCAAGCAGCATGAGTACCCGGAACAACCTTCAGATACTTTGTAAGAGAATCATAAGAGATAAATATTGTTACGACCCTGGCAATCGATCCCAGCTACCTGCGGCGGGAAGTAGACAAGCCATATTTCTTGGAATAGTAATTAGGTGATTCGACGGCTATTGAGATGACTCGAGAAGATTATCGACCTGTTCACGATATTTCGAGTGGAATCTAGACGTTTTATTAGGTAGTATAAATAGAGTTGTTGTTAGGGACAGGGAAAAGGAGTCTTTATTTGGAAGCGTTATAATAACGATGGAAGAAGTGTTGTGAATCGGAAGTGTTTAGTACGAGTATTGTAATTATTGTATAGTAGTGTTCAGAATAAATTATTTCAAGTGTTATACCGAGTGTTAAGTTATTACGGACCCAGAGTAAAATCGTAACAGTGGTGTCAGAAGTGTGGATTTTCGAGGACATTCGAATACGTATGGTGAATACAAGGAGTACGTCATACGACACGATGGAAGACATTATAAAATTCATGAAAAATCAGTTCGCAGAACTAGAGACACGACGACAGGAAGATGAGAAACGTCGTCAAGAAGAGTTACAGAAAATTCTAGAACATCAAGAAAAAGAACGAGAACATCAAGAAAAAGAACGAGAACATCAGAAAATCTTCTTCGAACAAATTCTGCATAAAACTGACAAGCAAATGGATGAGTTAAAGACAGATGTCACCAGAATTGATGACAAGCTTAACCAGGAAGTTTCAAGAATAGATTCCATGCTCGATGCAATCGAAAGAAATGTAGCGAATCAGATCACCTCGCTACGAAGTCAAGATCGCCGTGACAGAGTTGCCACATCGGGTTCTTCCGTGAAACCACCAACTTTTGATGGACAGTCGCCTTGGTCTATGTATCGCCGACAATTTGAGGCTGCAGCAAGTGCAAATGGGTGGAGTGACGAGTCGATCCCAGTTGAAAAACAAAACCACTTCGGAGATTTAGTGGCTGCGCTAGAACTCAGGTATGGTGACCAACATCGAGAACAGCTTTACCGGGCTCAGATGAAAAATCGTGTGCAGAAGTCTGGAGAGAGCCTACAGGAGTTCGAAGCAGATGTGAGAAGACTGACTCAATTAGCCTACCCAGAGGCACCAGAGGACTTCAAAGAACAACTGGCGGTGCAGGTATTCATCGACGGGCTGAGAGACTCAGAAATACAGAAGACTCTGAGGCTTACACACTTTAAGAGGAGTGGTGAAGCCCTAGTGAGATCTCTGGAGGTAGAAGCGGCCTTCAACACCTCTAGGCCAAGAGTGAGAGCTGTGTCCATCGAGGAGCCTTCCGAAGACGTGGACCCAGTGGCGAAAATGTTGAGAAAAGTGCTTGAGGAACTAAGAAATTAAGAGTGGGTCTAGTAACCAGCGAAATAGATCCTGCTATCGCTGTGGCAGAACTGGACACCTGATAAGGGACTGTACGGTGAGAGTACCACCACGATCTTCTTCACCTGCAAGGACGCCATCACGGTCGTACTCACCTGCGAGGACTAGGTCATCTAGTGAGTCCTCAGATAGATACCAGGAAAACTAGAACTAGCCAGCGTATCGGGGCGCATGCTGGCTAGTAATAACGAAGCCACCAGGGTCATTAACATCAAAAGGATAAGAAGAACAACTGATAGCCTGACCATCAAAGGAAAAATCAACCAAATGGATGTAACCTGCACCATAGATACCGGTGCATCAGTTTCTCTGGTACGCAGTGACATTCTCCGGCCTGGAAGTATAAAACCAACCACTTCCAACTTTGTTCTTCGTACGGTCACTGGAGAAAATGCACCAATACGAGGGATGGCTGATATTGAGTTGACGCTTGGAAGACTCCATATAATGAACATGGTATACGTCGCAGATATCGAAGATGAGTTTATCCTCGGCATGGATCTGATAAGTGATTACGGGTTTTCATTCGACAGTGATCAGAAGACCATGAAATTTGGAGGAGAAGAGTTTGTACTAACGACACCAGCCGAGAGGGAGACGTCTGTGAGGCTACGACTAGCGAAGACTGTGAGAATTCCTGGATTCACTGAGAAGATCATCCATGCGCGATTAGAAGAGGACCCTGGGTGCTGCGTTGGATTAGTACAGTTATGTGAGGAATCCCCCAGCAAGCTAGAAGCAGCGACTAGAGCAGAATACGTTGATGCTAGGAATAACTGCAGCCAAACAATAGATGCTGCGAAAGAAACATACAATGCCAAGATAAGATCGAAACTCATAGATTGTCCCAATGGTTCCCGTTCGTTTTGGTCCCTTGCTAAAGCGGTCGGAAGAAATTTCACTAATAGTTCATTTCCACCACTGTCCAAATCCGACGGCACATTAGCAACAACATCGCAGGAGAAAGCAAATATCTTTGCAGAGATGTTCGCAGCAAACTCTACTTTAGATTCCCAAGGAAAAGTGCCGCCAGACATTCCACCGGTTGAGAGTCGAATGCCCGAAATCGTCTTCCGCCAACGCACTATCAGACGAATTTTGCTTGGTCTCAAAACAAATAAGGCTAACGGTCCTGATGGAATCCCACCCATTATCCTCAAAAAATGTGCACCAGAACTAACACCGATTCTCTGCAAGTTGTTTACCGTCTCGTACAGGTCGGGTATCTTTCCATCATGCTGGAAGACAGCTAGAGTCCAACCAATCCCCAAAAAAGGGAACAAGAACCTGCCCAACAACTACAGGCCCATTGCCCTGTTATCAGTGATCTCCAAAGTGATGGAGAAAGCCATCAACATTGAGCTCATCAAATATCTGGAGAGCTCAGGAATTATCAATGATAGACAATACGGCTTTCGCCAGCGAAGATCTACTGGAGATCTACTTGCCTACGTCACCCATTTATGGCAAGCTTCATTAGAAAAACACGGGGAATCTTTAGCTGTCGCGTTGGACATATCGAAAGCATTTGACCGTGTTTGGCACAAAGGACTCCTCCACAAACTACCATCATACGGCTTACCACCTCAGCTATGCCATCTCTTATCGAGTTTTCTTTCAGGCAGATCGCTTCATGTGGTGGTGGACGGTGTATCGTCTGATACCATTGGCATCAATTCCGGCGTTCCACAAGGATCAATTTTGGCACCAACATTATTCCTTCTGCATATCAATGATCTGTTGGGAGTAACAACTTGCCCCATCCACAGCTTCGCAGATGATAGTACCCTCCATACTGCGTTCTCATCCAGAATTCCCATCTCTTCCCAGGAAACTAAGAACTCACGGCGCAGGCAGGTCAACGCTGTCAATGAAGACCTTGCTGAAATCACAGCCTGGGGAACCAACAACCTAGTTGAATTCAACGCCACCAAAACTCAAGCCTGTATTTTCTCTAGAAAGGCGGAACTCAGTATGTCCGACATTGTAATGTCTGGCACCACCATCTCCACCAAGCCCACCATATCTATGCTCGGTATTTCCATCAGCAACACTCTTTCATGGGATAATCATGTCAGATCCATCGCAAAAGCTGCCTCACAAAAACTCGGATTCTTGTTCCGTGCGAAAAGCTACTTTACACCTCAACAGCTTCTCATGATCTACAAAGCTCAGATACGGCCTGTTCTAGAATACTGTTCCCACATATGGGGTTCAGCACCAAAACATACGCTGATGCTCTTAGATTCCATCCAGAGAAGAGCCATCCGCCTGGTGGGTGACGCCACACTCACTCAGTCTTTGACATCATTGGAACACCGTAGAAAGGTCGGCGACCTTTCACTTTTCTATCGATACTTCCACGGGAAATGTGCTTCGGAAATCTCTGCTATCATCCCTTCACTAGCAATACCAGTCAGACGAACTAGACAAGCCCAGTCAGCACATCCTTTCGTTGTCAACCTCGAAAGATGTCGAACAGCACTTTATCAAAACTCCTTCATCCATAGAACGGCTAGGCTCTGGAATTCATTGCCTGAGGAAGTATTCCCAACAACATATAATCTCCAGAAGTTCAAAAAAAATTCCAATACCTACCTCCTATCCTTATCCTCCCTAGGAACGCACGATGTTCTTTGAACATTATAGGGATTCCCTTTCGTGCGCTCCAAGCGATAAAAAAAAAAAAAAGCTGTTACTTGCCCGAGCTTTAGTGACCACCGAACGAGACATTCCTGTGACGGTAGCAAATGTTTTACCTACCACCATAACAGTAAGGGAAGGAGATATTATCGGAGCTTGTGAACCAGTCAGTTGGGTAGCAAAATGTGATAAGACTAACGAGCAGAGATGGAGGGAACGAGAAGACAGTGCATTGAAAGTTCTGGAAACCTCCTTGGACCACTTATCACCAACAGAATATAAAGCTGTCAAGAAATTCATAGCAGACGAAAGTGATATCTTTGAATCAACATCAACAGGGCGGACGAACTTGGTCAAGCATAGAATAGATACTGGTAAAGCTCACCCAATTCGGCAACCATCAAGAAGAATGCCATTTGCTAAGCAACAGGAGGTGGAACAGCTGGTTGACAAAATGATGAAGGATGGGGTAATTGAAGAATCATCCAGCCCTTGGTCTGCACCGGTTGTATTAGTGTCCAAGAAGGATGGATCCACAAGATTCTGTGTGGATTATAGGAAGCTCAATGACGTCACCAAGAAGGATAGCTACCCGTTACCAAGGATTGATGACACTTTGACTACATTGGCTGGCTCCCGATGGTTTTCGACACTGGACTTGAAGAGCGGATACTGGCAAGTGGGCATTCACGAAGAAGATAAGGAGAAGACTGCTTTTACGACTGGTAATGGACTGTACCAGTTTACTGTGATGCCTTTCGGACTATGTAATGCCCCAGCAACCTTCGAAAGGCTGATGGAATTGGTACTGCGTGGGCTCACTTGGAAAACTTGCCTGGTATATCTGGACGATGTTTTGGTCATGGGAAAGAATTTCGAGGAACACCTGAAGAACTTACGGGAAGTGTTCCAGCGATTCAGGAATGCCAACCTCAAACTGAACCTGAAGAAATGTTCACTATTCCAGAAACGAGTAGATTTCTTGGGCCACACGGTAACGTCAGAAGGAATACAAACTGACTAGACAAAGATTCAAGCCATTCGAGACTGGCCAAGACCGAAGGACAAACATGAAGTTAGAAGTTTCTTGGGATTGTGCACTTACTACCGTCGTTTTGTGGAAGGATTTGCTGATATTGCGGCACCACTCCATAGATTGACAGAAGATCGAGTCAACTTCAACTGGTCTGTAGAATGTGAGAAATCCTTCAAGAAATTGAAGGCTGGCCTCTGTTCGAGTCCTATTTTGGGGTTCCCACAAGATAGAGGCTTGTTTATTTTGGACACAGACGCGAGTAACATCGGAATTGGAGCCGTGTTATCACAAGTACAGGATGGTCAAGAAAAGGTTATAGAATACTACAGCAAAGTGATGGCCAAACCAGAAAGGAATTATTGTGTCACCAGGAAAGAACTGCTGGCAATTGTTAAGGCTGTTGACCATTTCCACAAATACTTATACGGGAGAGAATTTCTCATTAGGACGGATCATGCAGCTTTGAGGTGGCTGATGGAGATGAAGAATCCTGAAGGTCAAATAGCAAGATGGCTGGAAAAGCTGGACCAGTATCACTTCAAGATTAAGCATCGCCCAGGAAAACTACACCAGAATGCAGATGCCATGTCCAGAAGACCTTGTTCGGAAACCTGTGAGCATTGTCTGCGCATTGAACACCGAGAAGGAACCGCTGATGTTAGAAAAACCAGACTTGTGACCGATGATAAGTGGACAGCAGCACACATGAGACGAGATCAGGAGAATGATCCGAATATCGCCGATTTTCTACGTTGGAAAGAAAGAGGAACAGAAAGACCGACATGGAAGGATATCTCGGATAGAGGGCCTGCTTTCAAGGCGATGTGGGCACAATGGGACTCACTAGTTGTGGAGAATGGATTATTGAAGCGAGTTTGGGAATCAGCTGATGGTAGATCAACAATTTCTCAGGTGGTTGTGCCCCACATCAGAGTTAATGAAGTTCTGGAAGAAGTCCATGGCGGAAAATCTGGTGGACATTTTGGAGTTAACAAGACATTGAGTAAAATTCGAGAAAGATTTTACTGGGTTCAATGTCGTGACGACGTGTAAAGTTGGTGTAGAAGATGTCCTGTATGCGAAGCCAGTAAAGGTCCCAGAACGAGATCAAGAGCTGGAATGAAGCAATACAATGTGGGTGCACCGTTTGAAAGGATCGCCATCGATGTAGCCGGACCATTCCCTTTGACTGATGATGGAAATAAATACATCTTGGTTGCTATGGACTACTTCAGTAAGTGGGTAGAAGCATACGGCATGCCAAACCAAGAAGCCTCCACAGTTGCCAGGATATTGGTCGACAACATGTTTTCACGGTTCGGAGTACCAATGGAATTACATTCTGATCAAGGGAGAAATTTTGAGTCGAACTTATTCAAAAAGGTCTGTGATCTAATGGGAATCAGTAAGACGAGAACAACTCCACTACATCCACAATCCGATGGCATGGTCGAAAGATTCAACCGAACTATGGAAGAACATCTTTCCAAAGTAGTCGAAGAGCATCAGAGGGACTGGGACAGGCATCTTCCCTTATTCCTGATGGCGTATAGAGCAGCTGTCCATGATTCAACGAAGCTAACTCCAGCTAGTATAGTCTTTGGAAGAGAACTCCGCTTACCTTGTGACTTGGTGTTCGGTTCACCAAGTGTTGAAGAAAAGGAAGTACAAGACTACGCAGATGAGCTCCGGACGGGCTTGATGAAAATTCATGAGACTGCTCGGAAGAGATTGAAATTAGCAAGTGACAAAATGAAGGCACGGTACGATCTCAAAGCCAATTCAGAGGGATTCTTCGAAGGAGATCGAGTTTGGCTGTATAATCCTCGACGGAAGAAAGGCGTATCACCCAAATTAACACCATCTTGGGAAGGACCGTATACGGTGTTGAAAAGGATCAACGATGTGGTCTACAGAATCCAACGCAGCCCTAGGACAAAGATGAAAGTCATTCATCTTGAAAGACTGAAGCGCTACCTTGGTGAGGAGAGTTCTGTTTTTGATCGGGACGATCATATTTGAAGAAGGGGGTAAATGTTACGACCCTGGCAATCGATCCCAGCTACCTGCGGCGGGAAGTAAACAAGCCATATTTCTTGGAATAGTAATTAGGTGATTCGACGGCTATTGAGATGACTCGAGAAGATTATCGACCTGTTCACGATATTTCGAGTGGAATCTAGACGTTTTATTAGGTAGTATAAATAGTTGTTGTTAGGGACAGGGAAAAGAAGTCTTTATTTGGAAGCGTTATAATAACGATCGAAGAAGTGTTGTGAATCGGAAGTGTTCAGTACGAGTATTGTAATTATTGTATAGTAGTGTTCAGAATAAATTATTTTAAGTGTTATACCGAGTGTTAAGTTATTATGGACCCAGAGTAAAATCGTAACAATATGAAAATGAGGCCTAAGAGGATCGCTAACCGAGTTTGATTTACATGAATCATCACAGGGTGTGCAAAATTTAGTGGCAAACTTCTTCTCATTTCAAATTCACATTATTGTTGATAGTTTTTTCAATTTCTCCACTCGAAGACTCCAAATCGCGACATTTCCAAAGATTAGATACTTTTATGATATCACAAGTTTGAGAAAAAAATACATTAATAGCATCAGAGTTTTGTTTACAATTTTGGTTGTCGTGCTATCAAGTGTCCGTTTTGTAGCTGGAAAAGTTAGGACAAGCGTTTTTCGCTGTCATAAAGACATAATCACGGCCTCTTACGGCATTTTATATAGGTTGAAAATAAGACTTTCTCTTCATACAAACATATGTCCTAAAATACACCCCATTTCGACCAGAACATTGTAAGACGGAGGGGACTCTTGTTACCTTGAAGGGCACCGATTGGTTGCCCTGCAGCTGGTAGATCAAGGCCTTGAGCCAGCCGGGGGTGAGACCTCGATGGGACCGAGGGATGGGGTATTCGAGGCGAGGCTTCACAGGAGGAGGGATGTTGAGAGAGAGGCAACGGAAGTACGCTGTCGACCATCTGCGGAAGAAGATATACACCACACTATAGCCCCCTACGAAAATCAGTAATTCCACTTCTGTCGGAACTTTTGATTCGACGCGTCCGAACTGCCATACTGAAAAAACTTCGTTTTTTTTTTCACAAACATTTGCCTATGTATGTATGTGAGTGGGCGGTCCGGGACCTAACGCACTTAGGCCTCCCTTTTCGGGCCCATTGTGCACCCACATTCCTGGGATCGCAAGTCAGCCATGGAGAAGGCCGATCTCGCGAGCAAAAGAGACCAACTTTCTAGCCAAATCTTTTTAACATCCTCTGGGTCCAGGATACTGCTCCCAAAATGGATATCCCTCGTTGCCACTACTGCCGGGCATTCAGTGAGGATGTGAGTAGAAGTCTCTTCATCCTCTAGGCACCATCTGCATTCAGGATCCCCCACAATCCCGATCGTGCGCTGAGATGTTTGTTCGAGTGGCAGTGCCCTGTCAGAAGGCCCACCACCAGTTTCAGCTCTTTCCTGTTCAAAGCCAAGAGGGCATTGGTCTGTCTTCGTGACGGGTTTCCTATATAGAGTTTGGACTGCCCAATTCCAGGAGCCTCTCTCCAGCTGCCCTAAAACCTTTCCGTCAGGATTTATTTCATCCTGAGGGTTGCTCCAGGATCGAGTGACCCCTAAGATTGGCTCTGGGTCAGTCACTGAACCCTTCGCCCCCTTTCTGGCCAGGCCATCGGCCATTTCGTTACCTAGTACCCCTGAGTGTCCATCAGGGACCCATCAGGGCCTAATTCAAGTTGCAACTGTAAATTAGCACTAATTTACAATTGCAACTGTAAATTAGGCAGAAGACATTTTTATTGAATATCGCCCAATTTACTTTCCTGTTCAAAGCCAAGAGGGCATTGGTCTATCTTCGTGACGGGTTTCCTATATGGGGTTTGGACTGCCCAATTCCAGGAGCCTCTCTCTAGCTGTCCTGAAACCTTTCCGTCAAGATTTCTTTCATCCTGAGGTTGCTCTAGGATCGAGTGACCCCTAAGATTGGCTCTGGGTCAATCACTGAACCCTTCGCCCCCTTTCTGGCCAGACCATTGGCCATTTCGTTACCTGGTACCCCTTAGTGTCCAGGGACCCAGGGCCTAATTTAAGTTACAACTGTAAATTAGCACTAATTTACAATTGCAACTGTAAATTAGGCAGAAGAAATTTTTATTAAATATCGCCTAATTTACAGTTGCAACAGTAAATTAGCACTGATTTACAGTTACAACTTCAAATTAAAGCAAGAGAACTTTTTTTTTACACATCTCCTAATTTACAGTTGCAACTGCAAATTAGGAGACAAGTAGAAAAAGAGTTCTCTTGTTCTAATTTACAGTTGCAACTGTAGTTTGATGTTGGTGTCCACAAGTCCACAAGTTTTATTTTTTGCCAGACTAGTGCCCATACCACCACCAACAGACTTAAGTTATTAGATCCCCATTCGAGAATTGTTGCCAAGTCCATATTTATGTTGTCAACATTTCTCACCAATAAGCGAAAACACGAAAAAAAAAATGTGAACCAATGGAAACAAAGTAAACAGGCAACTGTGACAGCTTTCAAGAACACCGATTTTTGGTTTTGTTAAAAACGAAAGTATTTTTTATCAGCTGTAAGTAGAAAAGAACAATTGAATTAACGAACTTCATCATTCAAGAGGTGTATCTGTTTAACCTTATCAAATACAAAACAATGAATGAAATGTATTGTATGAATCATATAAATTCAAAAGAATTGACTATGATTAATCAGACTGAATTTCCACTAGAACAACCAAGTACCTACACTAAAATTATATATACCACCGATCATGAGAAAAACATAGTTCTTAGGTGAGTACCATCATCAATGTTCATATCTGTATCATAATAACAATCCTGTTTTTTTTTCAGTGATGAATGGAAACTAACGAATCGACTCTGTGAACCAAATGTAGAATATCGAGCCAAACAAATAATAGCGAGGATCATCCAGTGCCATACTGAGAAAAACATTTGCAGTTGAAGAGTGCTGACAAATACACCAAGTGATGTGCTGATTTTATTTGTAAGGATAAATATATCGCTGTGATTAGTTCGGCGCAAATGATACAAGCTTTTACCTAATAAATATTTCTAGTGTAACAACTCTCCTTTGATTTCCTCTTGCTGGTTTTATCCTATAATTGCTTTCATAGGTCTCTTCGAGGAAATCGAGCCATTATTTCCATCAGTTATATTCAACAGCACTCAATCTAAATTCGGCCTCTTTTAGCACATCCACCGAAACCGAAGGTAAAGAGACCTCTTACAAAATATGAAAATAACTGAATGCAATTTGTATAAGATAACACGCTTGAATGCAAAATTATATGGTGATTTTCATGCACGAATGTAATTCGTTGACATATTCCACGGATAAATAATACATTCTCGAAGAAATGTGTTCTTATGGAGTTCAGGCTGTTCATGGGCATGGTATTGCTCGTTTTTCTCGAAAACGAAGCAGGAAACGAAAAAGTAGCAACTGAAAAAAATATTGTATTTTAAGTGGGTTTATCTGGATATTATTGAAAAGAACCCGAAAAAAACACAGGGTCACTTTATTTTTTTCACTTAAAAAAGCCGACTTGCTTGATGGGTACTCCCCTGGAAATTCTGGGTCATATTCAATTTGTCCAGTAAATGTCTACTAAATGTGTGTTCATGATCCATTTTTTTTTGGAAAGGAATTATTTTAGGGCCCATGTTCATATAATTTATTTTCATATTTTGTTGAGAGGAATCTTCTCTTGGCTTCTGTCACCTCAAATCTGAAACACCCTGTATTATGAAACTTGAGGCAACAATTCAGAAATGATTGCAACAAAATATAACATTTTTTCCTACGACTACTACTGTAAGTGATGGATATTGTACACAAAACAATGGCAGTAAGCTTCTCCTTACACACGTGTGCGTAAAGAGAGCGATCGCACGGTTTTCATAGGTATGTTGATAGATGACTTGTTTTGTTGCTTAGGCGATGTGTCAATAACAATTAACAATTTCATTAATGTCACTAGCTAGGTGGGTAATCCAGATATCCACCGAAACCGAAAGCATCAGGAAAGTTATATTTTTTGAAAATATGATTATTTTCTATTGATAATCCTCAATTTCCTCGAAAAAATTATATCAAGCGATGACGATGAGCAGATTATTTCTACACCACCAGAAATAATGGAAAAAACTATAATGGAAAAAAGCTAGAAATGAAAAAAATACTCAACATTGAATTGATGAATTCCTTTTCCTTTGAATAACAGGAATAATTAAAAAAGATCAATCTTCGAAATTATGTTAATTAAATATCTACCAATACGGAGAAATGGTGGTAGCTCAGTTGTTGGAAGCGCTGGCTCCGAACCAAAAGGTCGTTGGTTCAAGGCACAGTTGGAGAATTTTTTTTTTTATTTTCAATAACGATTACAGAATCTCTCGTGCTGCACTGTTACAAATAAATATCCATTATGAATGTTGATTATATATTTTTATACAATGTGTTTTTTGCTCCCTATTAATGAAGCTGTTTAGATATGAAAAATGGCTTCATTTCATTTCGAATTGAGGAAAATGTCTCGGTATGCAATGTATCAATAAACAAACACAAGATTTGTGATTTGTAACTTTCCATGCAGCTGGCTTAGTGACGGGAGAAGTTTCATATTGGTATTCGTTATATGTGCCTTAATACAATATCTGCACTATCCGGAAGAAAATATAGTGTAGTCGTAGAAAAAGTATAGTACAATTCTCGAGTTGTAAAGCAATTACGCACTTGTGGAGTTACACACTCGCCGCTATGCGGCATCGTGTGTAACTCTCTCCACTTCGTGCGTAATATGCGTTTTACAACTCTTGTTATGTACATAAATAAATAATAATAAATAACAAAAAAGGCAACGACACGCGGTGTTCCCAAGCGGTCGCCCATCCAAGTACTAACCGCGCCCGACGTTGCTTGACTTCCACGATCAGACGAGTGTGGGTACATTTCAACGTGGTATGGTCGTTGCCTGAGAGATCCTGCTGATCAGGTAGATACTTAAATGTTAACATTAGGGAAAATAGCTGTCCTTCAAGCAGACGCGGTTCATATGACCGGAAAGGTTTTTTTGTCTTCTAAGAAACGCTGCGCAGGTGCACGCAGGTGCCAGTTTCTGGTGTACAATTTCACAGAAGGTATAAAAAACATAGCAAATAACATAACTTCCGGTGGGTACGGAGCCAGCTCGGTCAATATGACCGAGATACATTTTCAAGATTTTCTTCACACATAGGTGACGAATATTTCGAAATTTCTTTCATAGAACTTCATGATTTGTCGATATCTTCCTTTGCGCAACATGCATGGCTCAAAAAATTTAACTTTTGTCCCATATGAAATTATTACCGCCTGGCCCGAAGGTAAAATACCATGGTGAACAGAACGGCAGTCAACGTGTTAATAATTCTAAAAGATTCAGAACTGATGAACTCCCCAGCAATCATGGTTTTTGCGGCCCTCTAAAGGTACAATGAAAATTGCCAACGAGCGGTTACAGCGGTCCTCTATTGTACAACCAGAGATTATATACTCCAAGCTGAATGCAATGTAGTCTATGCACCTCCTATGCACTATGCACTTTATCCATAGACAGTTTGAAGTTCGTATTATGTAACCTAGATGTCGCCCACTTCGTGAATCTCGCGAATATACTGACACAATGACACATTTTTAAATGAAATTTCAACAGATAATATGGTATTAATGGCGAGTTTTTTATATTTAGTAAACAATCATGCCAGATGACGGTCATTTAATCAATAATCAATCCAAATATGAGATGTCGAATGTAAACAGATTGCTTTCGAATGATATTCTTCTCTCTTTTCACTGAATATTGATAAATCACAACAAAATCATATTCCTTGACATACATGTACAAACATATGTGTCATTGAAGTATATTGTGATATATAAATTGTCCAATGATGAATGAAGGGTACAAAAAAGACAGACGGAAAGAAATGTGAAATTTGTAACTTCAGTGAAATATCTCAATGATGCATGGTTTGTTCACATATTTCCATTACCAAATTCGTGTTTTTCAGTCAAAAATACATAAGTTACAAAAACAATTTTCGGAGATAAACCCAGCGCATGATAATTGCAAAATTACATATGATCTTTGTCAATATAATGAGAGTATATCATCAGACAATAAAATACTTTTTTCTGCAATCGGCTCAAAAGTCGTCCATTTCTGTTCCATAGTTAGCTTTCGAAGTAGACACTTTTCTTCACAATAAAATGATTAGTTTGTATGTTGCTTTACAATTACTATTGTCTAGGAGCAAATAAAGTTGAATTCTAACTCCTAGGGACTAAAAACGTATAGCTGCTTTGACTCAAGTGATTCAAAATAGTGCTGTGTTCACTTATATTTCATCAATTTGATATCAGTTATTTCGATTGCAGAAAAAATAGCATGTTTCATTCGGATCAAAATGGACATGTTTGACTTGCAAAATTTACGTGCTCGGCTTCGCGGTCGCTCCGCCTCGCACGATATAAGAAATTTTGCGTATAATATTGATAAGTTCGCCGTATATTATATAGGATTTTTTCTATATTTTGAGTTAAAATGTCTATATATCGAAAAAAATAATTACGAACCAAACGGCGCCTCATAGTATGGGTTCCTTTTGATTATCATTGGTTCTATCAACTCCATGTTACATTATTTGTGGGTAAACTTTTGGGTGAGACAGGAAATTCTTGGGTTGTGTGCCTGTCACTTCGTATAGGAGCTCGTTCGACGGATTGTGAAGAGGGTTTCTAGGGTGTCTGATTTTGGTAATGGTTCGAAGACTTGATATTTCCGCAACTTCCAGGTTCCTTATAGCTGGTCTTCTGCAGTTGGTATATATGGGGTGAGCATATACTAAAATGGGTCGACATTGATTCCTTTTTTTTGGTGATCAGATTTTTTAAATGTTTTGCCCTTTGTATGCAATTTTTCTTTAAATTTTTCGTGTGATGGTTGAAGTTGAGTTTATGATCTAATTGAACACCAAGATATTTCGCTGTTGTTGAACATCTGATAGTCTGGTTGTTTACTATAATTGAGGGTGAGTCATCATTTGGCGAGTGATTGAAAATGATCAGTTGAGACTTCTGAGGATTGGGCTTAAGCCTCCATTTGTCGAACCATTCCTGAGTCCTGTGCATTTCAATTTGTAGCTCTTCAATTGTTTTTTGTAGAGAATTGTGGTGGCTCACAAGTGCTGTGTCGTCTGCATATTGCAATATATAATTGTTTTTGTTAATTTCTTGCTGATTTTGGTTAGCGTTGTAGATGTCATGGCTGTATATATTGTATCACAGTGGAGATAGCGGAGATCCTTGAGGGACTCCTTGCTCTGGGGTGAAAGGTTCTGATTGGTGTTTTCCTACTTTTACTCTTATTGAGCGTTCCGTCAGGTAGTTCCCTATCAGGTGGATCAAAAATTTAGGACAGTTTATTAGCCTGAATAGTTTGTAAAGCAGCCCTATATGCCAAACACTATCAAATGCTTTGTTGATGTCCAAGAAAATTGCCGCACTTTTTCGTCCTGATAGCTTGCATGTCTGAATGTTGGATGTAATAATCGATAATGGGTGGATGGTAGAACAGTTGTTTCGGAATCCGTATTGATACTGGGGAATCGCGTTCCCGACTGCGTCCTCAATCAAGTTTTTTATAATTTTCTCGAAGTTCTTCCCTATGACTGGTAGTAGTATGATAGGTCTATAGTTTTCTGGTTTACTATGGTCCGTAGAGGGTTTTGGGATTGTGATGATCGTTCCTGATTTCCATTCGGGTGGCGTGTACTGGGAGTTGAGGCAATGTTCATATATTTTGATGACATATGAATGAATGTCATAGTCTAGTTTCCTCAATATTTGTTTTGTTATCTGGTATTCTCCTGGAGCAGAATTCTTACCTCGATTTATTATTCCAAAGTAGGTCTCTTCATTGATGGGTGGGATGATATCTTTGGGTGCAGTTGTGAAGTAGTCCAGGTGCCAGTTGCTCACCTCATCATAGAATTCTTGGTCAAATTGTATGTCTTCATGTTTGGTGAAGGCTTTGGTGAAGTGTTCTGCCATGATGTTGGCTTTGTCGGCGTCTGATGTAAATTCTTCTCCATTTTTTTTTTCTTGATTTGGGTTTTGTCGGTATTCTCTGTACATAGCTCGTTTTTTTTTTAATTCAATGCGATAATGAAAGGAGGTAGTTCATGTAGGTAGTACTTTGTCTTGATTTTGGGAGAGTGAGTTTGAACTAGTTGGCTCAGTTTATTGTTGAATGCTGTTATTATGTCTCTATTGACGTTGGGGTGTTCGTTTGTAAAAGTTATAATTTCCTCATTAATAGGGTCCATATCACATTTATTTATATTGATTTTAATTTCTTCCTCATTGCTGATTGTTTTTTGAAGGTCAATTCCAATTTCGATTGCCAAGTGGTCTGAACCAAGAGCTGGGTGCGTTATGCAGTCTGATATATTATTCTGTAGGTTCTTGGTATATAGAACTATATCTGGAGATGAATCAGGATTTTTTGCCATAATAAATGTAGGTGGAGTGACTGCCTTCATAAATGTAGAGTTGTTCAAAAAGTCCTTGATTTGCTTGTTTTTTGTACGGTTAACATTGAAGTCTTGAAGTCCCCTATTATCAGAACATACTTGTGTAGAGCTGCCGTTGTAAAAATTGTATTTTCGATATTAGAAGTTGGATGAATGTACACTAGAATAATATGTAGCTTGTCGTCTAGGAGAGGTATGGTGATATGTGATGGGTAAGTCATCATTAGGCTACCACCTCTGACATTTTGATTGACAATGTTTCCGGGTCTTTGCTGTATGCTCCAATTTCTATAACGAATTTTTCTGTTTTTTTCAATTTTCGTTTCTAGGAATAGCCCACAATTGATGTCATTATTTTCAATATAGTTGCATATCAGGTGTTTTTTGGGTAGGTAACTGTTTATGTTGGCATCTAAAATTTTAAGCGTCTTGAACATTAACAGATACATCTTCTCCTAGCGTAGATTCGGTGGGTGATGGTTTATCCGGTAAGTCTAAGTCAAATATAAAAACGAAGGCTTTATTTTGTCCCGGAAAGACCACGTTGGTGTCGACATTGAATTCTTTGACAAACCTCATTTTCAACTTCTGTAGTAGTTCTGCTCTGTCCTGGTTTTTTGGTTTGTTCAATTTCCGAATATATGTGGTTACGATGTGATCATGTATCGTGTAAGGACCGTGTATTCTGCATTTTTTCAATTTAGGTTCGATTTCTCTTGACAGGGTTTGATTGTTGCATTGGGGATTCCATCTATTGGTTGTCTTATAGTCTCTTTGGGCATTTAAATGACCATGCCTGGTGCTCTTCGCTATTACAATCAGTGCATTTAGGTGGTAGGCTAGTTTTACACTGGTTGGTCGTATGGTTTTGTCCACATTTGGCGCATTTAATGTCTTCTTTGCAATTTTCTGTGGTATGGCTATTTTTGTGTCAGTAATAGAAACATCAATTCAAGAGCTAATTTTGGTATCCAAATGGATGACTTTTGTGTCGGTTGCAGAAAAAACAATGTATATTAATATTATTATAGAGAAACAAGAATAAAACTTCATGCTACTCACTGTAGTAAATCAACCGGCTGTGTCCTGATGGCTGACTTGGCGTATTGCCTCAGAAGATAAGGAAACGATGGAGGCACCGATATTTGTTCTGAGCAGTACATCTGGTCAGCTAACTCAGGCATTGTCGCACTTCAATTTCCTTTTTCTTATCACTGGATTGAAACGAAGTAGTTATTTCGGCAGAATTCCTTCAAACTGATTGTCACAAAAGTGCACAGGTATTTCTGTATGTACTGAAAGTATTGTTATGGAAACGTCAATATACCGGCTTGTCCTTGAACCGAAGTGGTTCACTTCATACAGAGTGTTATAGATTTGTAGTGCCAGAACGCCTGAGAGATATACAGGGTGTCCGGAAAGGTAATTTCGTAAATGATAGGGCTGATCGAGTGGGCCAAAATATATTGTTAGTACTTCATATAAACAAATGTCTATCGCACTTCGTTACGGAGTTATTGATCTTGAAAGATTCTGTAAGTCCATACATAATAATAAGGTGCAAAATTATGTGCATACTCATCATTACTAATAAACTCATCCACGGTCTCACCAAAGTGTATTAAATACTGGCAAAATAAGTTTTGATGTCAATTATGAACAATGACTGCAACTACCATGATGTTATTGAAAAGGAATATTCTCAGATAAAATAATGAATATTGAAAAAATGGATATATATATGAAGATATACATTGAGTTTACGCATTCTCTATATGATGAAAATATCAATTCTTCATCGGTTTATTCAACAGAAAACAGTTACTTTCCTGGCTATATGCCACGACGAACATTGAATTATACCTATTGAACACACACGATGAGAGTCTGAAAACAAAATCTTCTGAAGTTGAGAATTATATTTATTATACAGTGTGTACCACTTACCATGCTCACCAAGGGTATCTTTTTAACGGGGAGAGATACGATGTCGGTTAAATGACACCAAATGTGGAGTTTGTCAAGGCCAACTATAATGTGAAAAAATATTTTGATAAAATCTATTCGTTTTTGTTTTATACGCAAAAAAACAGATTTTGATCATTTTCATGTCTCCTCCGTAGCTTCTTTATTTATGAAAATATTCAAATAGGAATTTCACATTCTCATGGCAGTTTTTCAAATTGATTTCGAGAAAAATATGAAATTCAAACCAACTCTTCTAGAATTTCAGATATCAGCACCAACTTTAGTTTTTCAAATGTAGGTCATAGCTCACTATGAATTAGTTACAAATAACTTTTTTTTCTCTTACATATGATGTGTTGCAGTAATAGTGTTGTGTTGATAACAACGGAGCTATCGTCATTTATACAAAAACAAAAAATTATTTGGAAGCCGCCATCTTGAATTCATAAATTTCAACAAAAAAATCCCCCATTTACCAATTTTGAATGGAATCGGACCAAATCTTGTCCGCCATCTTGGAGCAGCCATTTTTTTAATTTCAACAAGAATTCCATAATATATTGTCATCGAAATTATGAACACCTGCCAAATTTCAAGTTAATCGGAGTTACGGAGTTTGTGTTGAAATTAAAAAAAAATGGCTGCTTCAAGATGACGGACAAGATTTGGTCCGATTCCATTCAAAATTGGTACATGGGGGTTTTTGAGGTCGAGGATCATGATTTTTTTGTTGAAATTCATTAATTCAAGATGGCGGCTTCCAAATAATTTTTTGTTTTTGTATAAATGACGAAAGCTCCGTTGTTATCAACACAAAACTATTACTGCAACATATCATCTGTAAAAGAAAAAAGTTATTTGTAACTAAATCATAGTGAGCTATGACCTACATTTGAAAAACTAAAATTCTAGAAGATTTGGTATAAATTTAATATCTTTTTCGAAATAAATTTGAAAAACTGCCATGAGAATGTGAAATTCCTATTTGAATATTTTCATTAATAAAGAATAAGCTACGGAGGAGACATGAAAATGATCAAAATCTGTATTTTTGCGTATAAAACAAAAACGAATAGATTTTATCAAAATATTTGTTCACATTATAGTTGGCCTTGACCTTGACAAAATCCACATTTGGTGTCATTTAACCGACCTCGTACCTCTCACCGTTAAAAATATGTGGGACACACTGTATTTATGTCATGATAAATCATATTATTTCATCCGAGTTGAGAGAGAATATCAACTCTCAATCTCAATTTCAGAGGGTATTCATTTTTCATGCTCTCCTTTTGTATGTTCAACAGATATAATTCAATGATCTACGGTGGCAAATAGCCAAGAAAGTTGTTGTTATCTGTTGAATATATTTTTATCTATCTGATGGAGAATGCAAATTCTCAACTTCTGAAGATTTTGTTTTCAAATTCTCATCTTGTGTGTATCAATATAGATATAATTCAATGTTCGTCGTGGCAGATAGCCAGGAAAGTATAGTGTTTTCTGTTGAATAAACAGATGAAGAATTGATATGTTCATCACATAGAAAATGAGAATTCTTGATGTATTTCTTTATATATACAGGGTGACATCAAAATAAATACATTAAATTAAAACCCTAAGTTGGCTCAAAAGGTGTACTATCGAATGGCACCATTGAAAAAAATATAGGGGTCAAAATAAGATTTGGGGCAAGACCCCCTTTTCCACCCAAAATTCTACTCATCGAGAAGTCCCTCATGGAAGGCATATCGATCGTAGGAAGATAAGGCGGGCCTTTCGCGATAACTTTCCGACCGAATATAGCCTATATATATATATATACAGTGTGTCCACTTATTCGATTCAAGTTGAAACCAACCAAATCTATGGAATTGTTGTCAAAATCTCCGTGAGCTGCAACCGGCTCTGTGTTTTGCATGTTAATTTGCACCGTTTTATCAGAAAGAGATGGAACAATGGATGAAACATTTGGTTAGCGGAAATTGATACATAAAAGTGTGTTCATAAGAATACATTTTGAGACCTAACCAAACATCGGATTTTGATTTTGTTTCCACCAACAGATTTGGAACATATTTAGGTATGTCTGCGTGGTGAGCTAAATCTTGTCAATTCAATTTTGAATTAGTTATTCGATTTGGAAATGACTGAATTTTTAGCGATTTTCGATAAATTTTTTTACATCGATGAAAGCATTTTTTGATCAAAAACAATCCATGAAAACATAGTCGACGACCATATCTATGACACAGCGAAAACAGAAATCGAAACAAACGCAAGATGTCCTCATATTTTGTATTCTAGAAATGCCATAAAATGACCCATTTTGGCTACTATCCGTTCCTCTTAAGGACTTACCACCCCTGTAAAATCGTTATTATCCGACCAATTTCAGAAAACCTTTTCTTGTTGGATAGGTATTTGAAATTCCCATCCAACGAGAGAGTGATCTAAATTCTTGGACTGTTATCGTGGCCAACTGCGACAAATTTCAATGACTCATATTCCAGAAAGTACTATTAGGGATTTTTTTCCACCAAACTTGATGATGGATTCTGAATCAGTACCAGTTGAAATATACCTGTACCGATTTTCATCATCATGAAACACAGGGTGTCCGAAAAAACCAATCATCATTTTCTTCAAATAGGTGATCAGCAAATGTAGTTCTGTGGTTTTTCTAAAAAGAAATAATCACAAATTATCATTGGGAATTATTTCAAATATACCTGTACCAATGTTCGTCATTTGAATATACAATGTGTCTGAGAAAAAAATTAGAAAGGATAGGTTAGCAATATTTTTCATCCTGATAAATTCTTCACTCAAAATAAAACGATGAATCAGGATCACTTGGAACATACCTGTACCAATTTTCATCATCATTAAACACAGGGTGTTCGAAAAATCAAATTAATATTTTTTTTGAGTTGATGGAAAAATATTGCCTTACTTTTTCGTTTCAATTGTTTTCTCATACACATCGTATTTTTGAATGATGAAAATCGGTACAGATATGTTCAAAGTGATCCTCAATAATAATGTACCACCAATTCTTCTCAAAGATATCACAATACTACATTTTCTGATGACCTATTAAAAAAAACATAATTCGTTTTTTCGGACACCCTGTGTTTAATGATGATAAAAATCAGTAAAGGTGTTTTTCAAGTGATCGTTATTCAGAATCCATCATTGTTTTTTGTGAACATAAATCCCTAATAGTATACTTTCTCAAATATGGGTCAATAAAGGTGGTCGCAGTTGGCCACGATTACAGTTCATGAGTAAAATCACTCTCTTGTTGGATGGACATTTCAAATACCTATCCAACGAAAAAAAGTGTTTTGAAATCGGTCAGATAATAACAATTTTACAGGGGTGGTAAGTCCTTAAGGTGAACACACTGTATATACTAGTTCAACAACTATTTCTAGATGTCAGTGTGATGTCGAAATCGAAATAAAATAGTTAAATTACAGCTTTCACAGCTATTGTTGGGTTCTTCAATTTCGTCTGTTACAGCAGGTCACCAATAGGTGGCACCCAGAGCTACTGCTCCACGGGCCTGTTCAACATGATTTCACTCCCTTCAAGCGTTGATTGATGAAGGGCTCTTTCACGCTGGGTGGATAGAAAGTTGATAGTGACGTCAATATGTCAACACATACAGTGTTGCCAGTTGAAAGGAAATGACTGAACAACCTACCGCCCGAATATGGATATGTCTAGTGTTACGATCGTCGGACATTATAATGTTTTTTGGAACAAACTCAAAAGCCGTCCATTTATGTTTCAAAATCAGCACTTGTATTTGATAAATAAACTTCAATATGTGTATTCAATGAACCATGATCCTAAAACAATATACTGAATATGAAATTTAATGATAATGAAATTCTTATATAGAATAATAACTTGAAGAATGATTCATTATATAACAACATCAACAAACAATCATAGATATTGACATTAAAAATAACTTATTTTTCTACCAATACACAATTATGTCTTGAATTAATTTTTTTTAATGAAAGTGATCAGTATTCACATTTACTGATTGCAAATAGTAAAAACTTGTGACTAACCTATATTCTTTGGAGATAGGTTACCGTAACAGAAGCTATCGTTGCAGCTGCCCCTGACACACTTTGTGCTATTCGAGAAACCGACCGTCTCCCTTCCAAGTATTTATATCGAGTTCATTGCAAAT